TACACGAGCAAGACTTACAGCGACATTCTTCCAGGTCAGTGAGCAGGAGCAGAAACAGGGAGAGTTAAGGCTTGTGGGACAATGTGAGCTACACGAGCAAGACTTACAGCGACATTCGTCAACGTCAGTGACCAGGAGCAGAAACAGGGACATTCTTCCAGTCCCTGTAGCCCTCCCTCTGCCTTCCTCTCGCTGTGTTCCCTGTCAATCCCTGTGTCCGTCTCAGGTCCCGTATGCGGAGCTGGGCGGCAAGACGCTGATGATGGCGGTGTACGATTTCGACCGTTTCTCGAAGCACGACGCCATCGGCGACGTCAAGGTGCCCATGAACAGCGTGGACCTGGGGCACCTGATCGAGGAGTGGAGAGAACTGGAGAGCGCGGAGAAGGAGGAGGTAGGGAGAGGGAGGGGGCTGGAGAGCAGGGGAAAACGGGGGGACCCCGGAGTACCGCTGGGGAGGAGGAGGGAGAGGAGGTGGAGGAAGGAGGCGCAGAGAGGGGCCGTGTGAAATTCTCTCCCCTGAGTCCTGACTTCTCTCCCGCAGCAGGAGAAGCTGGGCGATATCTGCTTCTCCCTGCGCTACGTTCCCACAGCCGGGAAACTGACCGTCATCATCCTGGAGGCCAAGAACCTCAAGAAGATGGACGTGGGAGGACTGTCAGGTAATCTGTGTGTATCTGTGTGTATCTGTGTGTATCTGTGTGTATCTGTGTGTGTCTGTGTGTGTCTGTGTGAGTCTGTGTGAGTCTGTGTGAGTCTGTGTGAGTCTGTGTGAGTCTGTGTGTGTGTGGGGTTCATGCTCTCCCTCTCTCCCTGCTCAGACCCCTCTGTGAAGTCAGTGTGTGTGTGTGTGTGTGTGTGTGTGTGTGTGTGTGTGTGTGTGTGGGGTTCATGCTCTCCCTCTCTCTCCCTGCTCAGACCCCTATGTGAAGATCCACCTCATGCAGGGAGGCAAGCGGCTGAAGAAGAAGAAGACCACCATCAAGAAGAACACGCTGAACCCCTACTACAACGAGAGCTTCAGCTTCGAGGTGCCCTTCGAGCAGATCCAGGTACACTGCCAGCCCACCTGGACACTGGGGGGCTGTGTCGCGACAGGGCAGGAGCGAGGACCCCCAGGAACTGCAGAACCAACCCCCACATCACTGACACCCCACTCCTGCCTCCCTCTCTCTCTCTCTCTCAATTCAATTCCAGGTGCTTCATTAGCATGACCGATGGGTACAATCAGTGTTGCCAAAGCAAATAAAAATAATAAAATTAACATGGAACAAAACAAAAAATAGAAGTAAAATAAAACCTACAGACATATTACAGACATTTACAACAGAGACATATTATAAAATATTGACATATACTGTAGGCGGCTGGAGCATTATTGGGAGACAGACTCACTGTTCCTCAGGCTGTGACAGGAGATCACATACTGGGCCGCCAGATCAACTGAGTTCCCTCCTCCCTCTCCCAGTAGGATTGGGACGTGTTGTGATTCTGGCAGGTGTGGGAACTCTGGGATTGGATTACTCTGAGATGCGTTACTCTCTCTCTCTCTCTCTCTCTCTCTCTCTCTCTCTCTCTCTCTCTGGAGCACTGACACCTCTCTCTCTCTCTCTCTCTGGAGCACTGACACCCCTCTCTCTCTCTGGAGCACTGACACCCCTCTCTCTCCTCTGCAGAAGGTGCAGGTGGTCGTCACCGTGCTGGACTACGACAAGCTGGGCAAGAACGACGCCATCGGGAAGGTGTTCGTGGGCTGCAACTCCTCGGGCACGGAGCTGCGCCACTGGTCGGACATGCTGGCCAACCCCCGCCGGCCCATCGCCCAGTGGCACACGCTGCAGCCCGAGGAGGAAGTGGAGGTCGCGCTGAAGGGCAACGTCCGCTGACGTCACTTCCTGTCCGCCCCCACTTCCTGTCCGCCCCCACTTCCTGCCAACAGTTTCCTCCACTCCTGTGTTTTTTTTAAGTACGATAGCATCACATTGTATCAGTCTCCTGTATATTACCGACTTCCTGCTTGCCTCCTGTAATTCAATATTATATCATCATTATTTATGGACCTACAGGAGCTTCTGCCTCTGTTTATTTCCCTCTGTCTCCTGCACGACGCTCTGTCCTGTCAGTCAGCACAGCGCGAG